ATATATATATATACACATACACATACACATATACATATATTCATTCATTCATTCATTGATAGGGTTTCATATTCATTGATAGGCATTTGGAAAATGCTACTTTTTTCTTATTGTATCACTCTTGTTTTGATTGATTCAATACTTTGTGGGCTTAGGATGTAAAGTTTTGATTCTTTAACCCATTGAGATTTCCCCTCCCCCGAGACTTGGATAATATATCAGTGATGAGATTGTAATAGACAATCCATGGTAATTTTTTTAAACAATAGATCTCTCTAAATTCCAAACAAGCATTAGGGCTGAGAGTAATGATGTTAAAGAGAGGGGTAACAAGAAAGCCTGAAACAAATGAAATTTTGCCTTGGAGTAAAAAAACGACAGAATTAGGAAGCATGGAAAAAATAGAAATTAATTTCTTAATGTCAGTTTATGCATAGTGATTTAAAACACACAGTTTTCAGTAATGTTCATATAATGTCCATTCCATTAGACACTGGGTGGCTTACAAAATCCCGAAACAGTAAAAACAATTAAGCACACATAAACAGGCAGACTAAAACAACCAAAATGATAAACCATACAGATATGACAGGGGCCCACAAATATATCAATAAACACATTAATCCCAATCCTGGGAACAGAGCCGGGTTTTAAGAGCTTTCCAGAACCCCAGGAGAGTGGGCACCATTCATATCCCTGGGGAGATATTGTTCCAGAGGTCAGGGGCAGTGACAGAGAAGACGTACTTCCTTGGTCCCACAAGATGGCAGTGTTTAATAGAGGGGACCTGGAGTGTACCTGAAGGGTTTTATAGGCGACAACCATCACCTTAAATTGCACTAGAAGCCTACTGGCAACCAATGCTGCTCTTGTAGCATTGGTGACACATGGACATAACATGAAGTGTCTGTTACTGTTTACACTGCTGCAATTTGTATCAGCTGTAGCTTCCAGATGGTCTTCAAGGGCAGCCTCATGTAGAGCCCATTGCAATAGTCTAATCATGAAGGAGACCAGGGCATGAGTGACCATGAAGGGCCTCCCAGTTGAGAATAGGGCTCAACTGGCACATAAGATGCTCTTCAAGCAGGAGCTGCTTGTGCAGGAGGACCCCTCAAGTTACAATCTTAAGTTGGAAAGTACAAACCCATCTAAGACCAATGATAAAAACATCCCCAACCCTTGGGGGCCAAGCAGCCATAGCCACTCAGTCTTTTCAGGATTGAGCCAGTCTATTGCCCATCTAGACCTGCACAGCCTGCAGAGACTTGGTCAGTACATTGATAGCTTCACATGTGCACCCCAGGGTTGAGATGTACAACTGGGTATCATCAACATACTGATGATGCCAAAGCCCAAACCGATGGATTACCTCACCCAGCAGTTTCATGTAGTTGTTAAACAGGAGGAGGAGAGCGTCGAGTCATGAGGCACCCCACAAGTGAGGGACCAAGGGTGTGATCTCCCCCCATCAACACCAACTGAGACTGACCACTGAGGAATAAGGCAAACCACTGCAGTATGGTGCCTCCCTCTTCCAGCCCCTGCAGCCAGTCCAGAAGGATACCATAGTCAACAGTATCAAAAGCCAACCTAATTTTCAATAGACTAAGCACAAATTATTGCAACAAGAATATTATCTTCATTGGAGAAAGCATACTTGATGAGAAGAATCCTATTGGTGCTACCAAGATCTAAATAAATGTTTCTGTTTTGCCACTGTATAAATGAAAAGTGGTTTGGAATCTTTCTCATTGGTTCAAGGAGTCAGGTGACTTTTCAAATAAGATAAATTTTTAAGAATATTACTAATAAAGCTCTGTCTGGGAGAATTTTATCAATTTCCCAGTGTATTCTCCTTTTGTGTTAATTAAGGTATAATAAACACTATTGGGATAGGAAATTGGGGATGCTGTTCATGTGTAGAAAAAGAAAAGCAGTGTTATTAAATCAAGAAATCCTAAGAATCTTGGCTTTCATATTATATACATACATACCTAACGTTTTGTGTGGAATGGCTGCTAAAACTGTGGTTGCATAAGATTTTTGTTGATAAGGAGACAAACATTTGACTAAGAAAAGCAGAAAAATATCATGCAAAGTACGCAGGTTGAAAATTTATATAATATATATTGTTAATAGAATGAAAGGCAGAATATACTAGGGTTTTCTCTCCCTCCCAAGTGATTGCCAAAATGGGCAAAGGTTTTGCCAATCTGTAAAATAAATAGGAGGTATATGTTGGAGGGAAATACAAATAAAAATTTGTTATCCCAACATTAATTTGGTTTAGGTGTAAATGAATACATTTTATCAGCAATGGGATGGTTGATCTTAACATCGAGTGTTATTCATATCTTTGTCTTGTACCTACTTTGATTTTTTTTCTCCT